ATTGCTTTAGCAAATATAACTTTGCTTCATTGACAATCCCATCATTTAATGTGATTTAGGAGAGTGTCTGGCGCTCCTTGAAATCCACATCTGCTCTGTGACCTAAAGGATATCGCGAAAATGCAGCGTAGTGGTTAAAGTGTCACTGTCATGGTTCGACTCCCGCTAGAAGGGGGGTAGATGAGATCTGGGCAAGGTCGAAACTGCATTCCACACTAGATGAAAATACCACCTGGGAAGCAAGTGTACTCATCTCACTGTGGACAAGTCTTACCTATTAGTCCTTAAATCATCTTAAACAACCTCAGGTAACTAAGTTCTTATTAGAGAACTGTGATAGTCTCGTAACCTACCCAAATAAGAATCATTTTCTAGCCTTATTTTTCATTAAATAGGTATTCTGATCCTTTTAATTTTTTTATATCTCCATCCAATGATCCACACAATTTAAAATCCTATTTTTTACCATATTGAATTTTCCAAGGCGTAGACCGCGTAAAGTATACCTTTCAAGTATACCAATTTCATTTAGTTATCATTATATTTAATTTATTCGCCCCTTCATACTAAATTAAAAGTCCTTCAGTGTACTTAATTTACTACCTGTTTGTTTGCCATTTATTTATTTAGCATGTTCTATCCATTTTCTTATTTTTCTTCTATCCATTCATTTGTCTACATTTCCCTGTTTTTTCTTTCATTTCTTATTTTATTCAAAAACAGTTGGATAAAACTAATTACGATGCTGCAGAGCGTCGATTGGCTGAGGAGCGTCATTTGCGCTTAGATTTGGAGGCCCAATTATCTAACTGTTCGACAATCGAGCAAAGGCAATCGGCTAATGAGCACTCTGAACACTTAGGCCATGAACCAGACGCCAAGCACCGGTGAATGAGCATGCAATTCTAATCCAATATCCATTGTGTTGCGTGCATCTTTTCATATAAACTTATAACTAATGTTGTGATGAGCTATCTTTATGTATTATGCTTGAAATGATATTATCGAAGATATGAAGACCTAGATGGTTTAGTACTAGGTATGGTCATAGTCTTCTTTCGATTTATATAAGTGGGTCGACCTCATTTTCGCAATTTGGTCTTGTTGTCAGGGCGACCTAGTTAAACGCACCTTGTTCGAAGCCCTCTGCCTTAGTAGTTATCATAATTCCAAGCATCATAACAAATCAGTGCTAACTTTACTTATCATTATGTAGGGAAAGTATGAAGTAGGCTAAATAATTCTCGGCTATCTCATTAGGATAGCAAAACTAGTAAGTATGCTTGCAACCTGCCGGCATCGTCACGGAGTCTTGCTATTCTTGGCACTAAACAACAGCTCGTCAAGGGGATATGTCAAGTCCGGCCCTCGCCTAATGCTCTGCCAAACGGTTGTGCTATCTCTGCTCTTGTCCTGATACATCTACTTACCCCCTTGATTTCGGCGAAACATGTGGGAATGTACCAAGTCCATGTTAGGACACTATGACTTATCACAACCACTCTGGCAGAGCACTTGGGACAATGTGCGTTTATCTAGGTCCCTCTGAAAACACAAATGAGTTGAGAAAACGACGCCAAACCACTTTTGTGCGGCGAAATAATATTTTTTTTAAATAGCACTTACAACATCTTCATGTTTACCAGAAAGCGGGGTTGAAAGTATTGGTGTAGAGTAACTCACATCTTAGACATTCCATGCTAGGCTAAAAAGTTAATCGATATTTGGGATAATATTACATGGATTTCATTTTATTAGTTGGCTCTCAAACATTACCTTGTGTCATTTATTTATTGGAATATTCACTTTAAACGACACAATAAAAAATTATTATTCATATAATTATTTAGAATTAGCTTGTGACGGTTTTTGGTAGCTTATTTAGAAAGGAAGCTTTTAAGCAACCGCTAAGGCTAAATTCAGTTCCATTGTTACTCAATACTTTAAACAGCCGATTACTACAGTTGGACATATCTCTGCTATACTATTATCTTCCGATATTTTTTATCCCCGTACCATTGGCCGCTACTATTAAATTATGTATTACTTACTAGTAAACTTTGGTCCCTGGGGTGATTTTATCAATTATTCTTATGAAGAGCACACGTTGACTCGCCTAATTTGTTTACCAGTGTTGTTGGTTGTTACAAATTGTATTAATAACTTTGATTTTGACAAGGCCAGGCTTTGGCACATTATAATTAAATCGCCTGATTATTCCTAATGGAGTTTTATTTAGGAGCACAATATTTAGCTTTATTTTTTTGTCATGAAGCCTAGATTCTTCACATTATAAATATAATGTATTAATAACCTATCATAACTTCATTTTCGTTAAAACGCTTCATATGCGGCCCATAAAATTTACAATTCCTGTGATTTTATTTAATTTAAATTTAGATTCTTTGCTATTTTTTTAAGCGCACCTTATAACCTAAAAAAGTTGGGAATGTTAAGTTAACCCGAGTCTCTCAGAATAGGTACTCACATTTATATGCATTTCACAATGAAATTCTACCACGGAAGAAGGCAAATTTATTCATTTACATGAAAATG